ACAGGTGTTAAGCAAACTAGCCTAGAGATGGCAACAAATGGCATTCTTGCTAATGATGCCCATATCCCATCTGAGAATCAAGAAAAAAATGTGTAGCAGACATAGAGGGTAATTCTAACACTAAGTCCTTATTAGGAGAAATTTAATTAATGTCAGGCTAGAAGTGAAATTCTGCCTAATCCCCTGCGATTCAGCCACAATCTGAATAACCATCAATGAGAAGAGGTAAGAAATATGGTGAAATGATGCCTTGCAGTGTCAGCATTCCACTTTGAATTGAGCATTTGCCCAGAATTGCACATGTTTGATTAACTCTAATCCAGGGAAATGGTAGTCAGGGTTTTGATATGATTTCGCCATTTACAATGTGAAGGCATGACTCCTTTTCCTTTAATATCATGTCCAACACTGTGAAACACTAAAAACATCTGGTTAATATTCTTTATCAATCCTATGAACAACAATACGCTCATGCTATGTTACTGAAATATTTATGAGCAATTGCTGGTAAAGTTATAACATAATTCTTCTGCACAACAGACTAATCGACAGTTTTACTGATGTTTCACTCTATGTTCACAATATTTCTAATCTCTTCTCATGGATGGTTATTGAGGTAGGTTAATGTTAACCTAAATCACTGGACGGGAATCCCATGAGGTTGGATAGAATGTCAGTTCATCTTCCCTGATATTGTTCCCCATTGACATCAGTGCAGACTAAGATAGATTCACCAGAGTAATACTGTACTTCAGGATTAAAATAATGAGGACTGGTTGCATCAGCTAGGATTGTTTGAGTATAAAATATTAAGATAGACCTAATTGAAGATTTTAAAAAAAGTCATCCAGCCACAGGTGACTGTTTGTGTGGAGTTTGCACATTCTCCCTGTGTCTGAGTGGGTTTCTGCCAGGTGCTCTGGTTTCCTCCCACAGTCCAAAGATGGCTTGGTGGATTGGCTGTGCTAAATTGCTCCATAGTGTTCAGGGATGTGCAGGTTAGATTGATTAGCCAGAGGAAATGCGGGGTTTATGGGGATAGGGTGGGGTTGCAGGGGGTGTCCAAGGCTACATCAGGACGGGATGCTCTTCAGGGGGTGTTGGTGCAGACTCAGTGGGCCAAATAGCCTCTTTCCACACTATAGGGATTCTCAAGCTCACCTGAGGCATGGTGATACTCAAGTAACAACTCACCATGAGTTGTCTTTATCTAATGAGACAGCAGGTTATGGTGATTTTCACTTGTAATTATTCAGTAATTTGAGTAAGTCAAATTCTGATTTGATTTCATATAATCCTGGAACTTAATGGTATATATATGCTGGCACCTTACGGGATCACATTCCATGACTTTTCAAAAAAAGAGAAATCTTTCACCAGTATATCACTTGCATTGAAGCCACAGCCTGATTACCGTATAAAATTGGGTTATGTGGACTATATTTCACTGCAAGACTGAATAGAATAATGTACAGTCACAACAACTTACTTGGCAAAGAATGGTTCAGTTATTGAATTGTACAGCAAGAAGGTAATTCAGATCACGCGCCTCTTTGAAAGTGAAGTCCAATCAATCCCAATTCCTTACCCTTTACTCACAGCCCTGCAAATTTATATTGTTTCAAGTATATGGCCAATCATGTTTGAAAGATACTCTTGAAACTGCTTTCACCAACCTTTCAAGTAACACATTCCAGATCATAAGAGCTCACTGCAGTAAAAACAAAATCTCCTCAGCTTCCTTCTGGTTATTTTGCCAATTACCTTAAATCTGTGTCCTCTGGTCGGTAATCTCCTGACAATATTTTACCGGTTTCTCCTAAGGTTCTGATAGGTCGGCCGGCAGCCTTACTGTGAACAGCTTTGGTCTTCTTACCTAAGGAAGGATATACTTGCCTTAGAGGGGGTGCAACGAAGGTTTACTAGATTGATTCTGGGTCCTCTGAAGGATGGAACTATATTGTCTGGAGTTTAGAGGAATGAATATTGATCTCAGTGAAATGTAAAAATTCTTACAGGGCTTGACAGAGCAGAGCTAAAAGGCTGTTTCCTGAGCCTAGAGAGTCCAGGGCTATGAATTGAAATCTGAAAATAAGCCATTGGTCAGTTGGGATTGAAATGGGGAGAAATTTATTTACTGAGAGGGTTTTGAATCTTTTGAGATTGATTGTAGACTTCTGGTCATTATGTTCAAGATCTATAGATTTTTGGTCTCTCAGGGAATGAAGGGATATGGGGATAGGGCAGGAAAGTGGAATTGAGGTAGGAGATCAGCTATGATTTTATTGAATGATAGAACAGACTTGAGGGGCCAAATGGTCTACTGCTGATCCAATTTTCATGTTCTTACAACAGTTTCGTTTATGACATTGCTTTTTATGGGATCATTTTGAACACTGAAAGGCTGCTGTGTTTCAAAACAGGCACATTTCAAAAGTATTTGTTTAGCTATAAGGCAATTTGGGACACCTCAACATTGTGACATGTGTTAGAGAAATGCAAGTTCTTTCTTATATATTCCCTTGTACAACTGGCATCACTGGATGGAGTGAGGCAGGGAAAAGGTATGAGAATGTCATGAATATTCTCGATGCTCCCTTCTTTCTAGTTAACCCATTTCAGGCGAACATCACCTGAGATCATGTGCAACCTTAGAGTCATTCAGAACTTTGCAGCCTATATCCTCACGTGTATGGAAAGTGATTCATCATTGCCCCTTTCTGCACTGACCTCCTGCCTTTTCTCAGCTCTGTAACCTCCTCCAGTCCAACAACCTTCTATGATCTTTGAATGCCATCATGTTGTTTGCTTTTGGCTCTGGAACTCCAACTTTCAACCTTGCTACCACTCTTTAAACCCTATCTTGATGTCTAAATTTAGGTCACCTCTCCTGATAACTCCTTCATTGCTTTGTTCCCAATATTTGGCTCATTAAGCTGCAAAATGTCTTGGAACTTTTTACCACCCCACCTAGACAACCATCACATTCTTAAGCATTCTTCTCAAGGGTTATTAGGAATGGACAACAAATGCCGTCCTAGCCAGCGATGTTCACATTTTATAGAAGAATAAAAACAATTAAAGGTATTATACAGATAAAGGTTGTTGTTCACCAGGATTTGAGCATATAACTTTCCATCTTTTGGGTTTCAGGCAGTCAGCATAGAATAGATAGTGGACACCACTGACATCATAATGCTGATGATATTCACATACAATGATGCTAACTTGTCAAGCAGAGCAATCTTACTCACTCCTCCCCTGTACACTGGAAAGATCACCAAGTCAATGCTTGGGTATTTTTGTGGCTTGGTACCACACTGGACATTATACCAATCTATTCTTCCATTGGGTTGCAACATCAAAAAAAAATGATAGATCAATTCAACATGTTTTATATTATGGATGTAGCTAACAACATGACTGAACAGATTATCTGCTTTTGCAATAATTGAGGGAAAGGTATTGAACAAGACAACAGGAATAGCTCTCCTGCTATTCATCAAGATATTGCCATGGAATCTTTTACATCCACCTGAGCACATGCATGGAGCCTGAGTTGAACATCTGCTCTGAAAGACAGTGCAGTGTTCCCTCATTGTTGTCTGCGTGTGCCATCATCTGAGGACATTATTTGTTCATGGCAAGAATCTGTGCATGGAGTCTTTTAAGTGGGGAGTTTGGTGCTCTGCAGCCACCACAGGTTCTGGCTGACCAGAAAATTCTCACTTTCTTGCTGCCTGCCTTTGGTATATCAGAAAGATTTATAGATTCACAACCTGGGGTAACATTACAACCTATGATCTGTGACCACCAAGCCTTGGGGTGGGACCTGAACCCAGAGCTTCTAGCCCAGAGGAAGGGAAATAATCACTCATTTCCAATACGTTCTTATCCTCAATACTATACTCGTGTCAGCCAAGGTTTTAGGCATGCTCAGGTCTGAAGTGGGACTGAATGCAGGACCCTATGACTTCAGAACTGAGCTGCAGTTTTGCTCAGTGATAGTTCTGTTATCTTGGAAACCTCAAGACCTCATTCCAGGAATTTGAACAGAAAATGTAGGCTGATACTGCCAGTGCTATATTGAGGGTGCAGTGTTCTGTCAAAGGTGCTATCTTTTGCATATAACATTACATCAAGGTCTCTGCCAGTAACGGTGAAATACATTGGTAGTTTATTAAAGAGGAAGGTTTCTTTTTCCACTTTACTGCATGGTATAACTTATCCCTCAGCTGATAATATTCCATGTAGATTATTTGGTGATTGATTTTTGAGATTTTACTATGCACAAATTGGCTGCCACATACTCAACATTACAACAGTGACTCTATTTTAAAAGAAATTCCTTGACTTTGGGATGCATTGATGAACATTTCCACTGAGCTGCACAGGTGTTCATCATGTAGCAGCCTGCAAGGTACCAAATAGGTCTTTCTCTGTGAAAAGAAAGTGTGCATGGTCATGCCTAAAAAATTATGGGGGTTGAGCACAGAATAAAAAGAAAAGTGCACTGCAGCTAAATTTTAAATAAATATTAGAGTTGAGGTTCAGAAAGCTGTTGTGTAATTATTTGTCAACCTAGTGTCTGATTTGTAAGAAAATGCATTGAAATATAAAGGTATATGTTATTTGAGTATGCACATCAGTGGTAAAGTTAACTGAAGAAACATTTCCTCTATTTCCTTATTTACTTTCCTTTAATCGTTTTAGAGTTATACTTTAATTATTAGGGCTAGTATTAACTCCAGAAGTTCTTTGTGTTTAATAATGCATCTTTAATCCGTGAACAAAACTCAACCTTCTCCATGCCACCGATGTTCATGAGCTTCACTTAGTTTGAAAATCCAACAATGGAACTTCTTTGTTTTGCAAGTTTGGAAAGGCCTCCGTTGATACTATTGTCTGTTAGCATACGTTTCCTTGCATGTGGCGGACAGTGAGAAAGTAATGGAAGATTCCAGATTAAGGGGCAGAACATTAAAATTAGAGGTAGGCCATTTGGGGTGTTGTCACAAAGAATTTATTCACAGAAAGAAATCTGGAACTCATTACACCACACCACCAACACCCACCTCCTCCTCAAAATGCTGGAGAGTCAACTGAATGTTTCATCACTGGCACAATAGATTTTTGTATCAATAAGGGCTTATGGAACTAATGTAAGTAAACTGAAATAAGAAATTGATCACCTGTTATTGAACTGAATGGTGGAAAAGGCTCAAAATGTTGATTTTATAAAAAACAGGTCAGGGTTGTGAGCATTTCTCGATGGGCCAGCATTTATTGTCCATCCTTAATTGCCCTTGAGGAAGTAATGACAAGCTGCCCTTCTTGAATTGCAGGTGTCTATTTGCTGTGGTACACCTATAATACTGTTAGGAAGGGAGTTCCAAGATTTCTGCCAGTGACAGTGACAGTGAGGGAATTCTGATTTTTACACAATGTCAGGGAAGAAATAGTGATAAATTTCCAACCAGGATGAGCACTGCTGCTACTGATCATTGGTGGTGGAGTAAATGTTTGTGGATGCCAATCAAACAGGCTGCTTTGTTCTGCATGGTGTCAAGCTTCTTAAGTGTTGTTGGAATCCAGGAAGTAGGGAAATTTCCATCACGGTCCTGTCTTGTGCTTTATAGATGGTGGACAGGCTTTGGGAGTCTGGAGATGAGTTGCTCATTGCAAGATTCTTAACCTCTGACCTGCTTGAGAATCAATGCATCTATGTGACTAGCTCAGTCAGCTTCTGGTCAGTGGTGATCCCCATGTTGATAAGTGAGGGAATCGTACTAGTAATGCTATCGACTGTCAAGAGGCAATGGTCAGATTCTCTCTTGTTGGTGATAATCATTGCCTGTCACTTACATGGTGAAAAATAGTCCTGCCACTTGTCAGGCCAAGCCTGGATATTGTTCAAATCTTGCTGTATTTGGATGTATACCATCTCACTGACAAGTTACAAGTAACAGTGATCATTGTGCAAACATCTGTGAGAATGCCCATTTTTGACCTTATGATTAGAAAGGTCATTGATGAGGTAACTGTACATAGTTGGGCTTAGAATACTAGAACCTGAAGAACTCCTGCTGAGATATCCTGGAGCTGAAATGACTGATGTTCAACAACCAACCATATTTCTTTGTGCCAGGTGTGACTCCAACCAGTGATTTTTCAACTTCAGTTTTGCTTGGCTTCTTGATACCGCAGTTGGTCAAATGTAGTTTTAATGTCAAGGCCAGTCATTCTCACCTCATCTTTAGAATTCAACTATTTTCTCCGTGCTTGAATTAAGGCTGTAATGAGATCAGGAGCAAAGTGACCTTGGTGGAACCCAAACCAACCATCTGTGAGCAAATTATTCTTAAGCAAGTGCTGCTTGATAGCACTGTTGATGATCCCTTCCATCACTATTGATGATCAAGAGTAAACTGATAATTGGTCATGTTGGATTTGTCCTGTTTATCATGTACAGGACCTTCCTGGGGCAAGTTTCCACACTGGGTGGATTGCAGCTGTCCTGGAATAGGTTCTTCAGGTGTGCAACAAATTCTGGAGTAGACTCTTCAGTATTATAGCTGGGTTTCTGTCACAGCTAATAGCCTTTGCAGGCCTTCAGCTGTTTGTTGATGTCACAAATTTGATGAATCAAATTGGTTGAATACTGACTTCTGTGATGCTGGCATCTCTGCAGCAAGCTGAAATTGCTCATCCACTCAGAACTTCTGGCTGGAGGTAGGTGCACATAATTTGGCCTTATCTTTTGCAATTATGTGTTGGGGTCCCCATCATTGAGGAGAGATCTTTACGAAGCATCCTCCTCCATTCAGTTGTTTAATTTTCCACCACCACAGGACTAGAACTTAGATCTGATCCATTGATGTTTGAATTGTCTAGCTCTTAATGGCTTACTCATTTCTATAATTATCTCCAAACAAAATTATAGGCTGCAGTGGTTGTTTGATAGTTGCTAATAATTGGGAATGAGATTTTGTGGTTAGCCCAAGCCAATGCACCATATGTGAAAAAGCCAGCCCTACTCTATGACAGAGGTCACTTTGTTTTCTACTGGATGAAACTTCTGCTGCTTCTTGACATACCTACATGAATATGAGATGCTCCTTTAACATGGCGGATGAGTGTGCCAATCAACTGTGCTGCTTGATCATAAATGGTATAAAGCTTCTTGACCACTGTTGGAACTGAATACATCCAGTGAAAAGTATTCCATCATAATCCTGATTCATGCCTTGTAACTGGTGTATAAACTTTAGGGTTAACTTGAATGCGCTGCTGGCTCAAGCAGGCATCAGATGGTGAGGTTAGGCTCAATGCTCTGGCTTAAAGAGGGGACCAAATATTTAACAGTGGGCCAGTCCCCTCAAATACAGGTACTGTGTGTGGGCAGGGTGTGATTGGGACTCTACTGTGCTTAATTAGTCTGCTGCCAGTTGATCATCAAAGGCTTGACTATGAGGGATGGGCACTTGGGTAGGCCTGAGGAAAAAGAGAAAAAAATAGCATGGCTAACTGAAAGAAGGCTAAAGAAAATGAAGCAGGGATTTGAGTAAAAACAATAAGCTTGACATTCACATGGGATTGAGAAGGTGCTGCATTGTCAGAGGTGCCACTCTTCAAATGAAGAGTTAAGCTGAGATCTCATCTTATCCCTTTCAGATTCATACAAATGATCCCATGGCACTACCTGAAAATGAGCAGAGCTGTTCACCCTAGTCTCCTGGTTAATATTTATATTTGAAAATTATCAACAAACAGATTGTCCCAGCAATATCCCACACTGATCTCTGTGGGAGCTTGCTATATGCAAATTGTTTGCTGCAATTTCCACAAAACAACAGCAACTTCACTTTATAAAGCATTTTGTATTAAAACAGCATGTTGAGTAGAGAAAGACATCATATGAAAATAAAATTCTTTCTTTTCTCCAAGAAACAAACTAATGATCAGCATGACCCCAACCTCTTGATTATCTGCACTGCTTGCTACCTTGATCCTGACCACAAACATATCTGATTCTTTGCATCACTAACACCCAAACTTCAAATTTGCTACACCATTGACAAACTTTGAGGGACTCAGAAAAATGAAAAATTGTGGGTTTGTTTTGCATAAACCCAAGGAGTCTCGTTCAGTAATGTCCACTATCATTCTACATAGTCTGAAAGCTCACCCAGGATCTTTACTTTGTTGTTCTGTAATTGGTAATTACTTGATAGTAAATTCTATCTTCCAGCTTTTATATTTAAAGTCCAGCAAACCAGGAGGATTCAGGGCTTTGCATCCAAAAGACAAATGAATATTGGACCATTGGGTACAGGAGACGAACAAGAGTCAGGCTTTACTTGCTAACCAGCAGGAGTTGGTGCTTTGGGACCAAGGCACCATCAGTAGTCTGGGCTTCCAGTCCAAGAGACCAAATTGTTATGGTGATGCAGAGGTAAGGGTCTTTGGTCCCAGATATTAACAGGTGTCATATTTTTAAGTTTTGATAACCAAAAGGAATCAGGGTTTTGGGTCTGAGGACCTTTGAGCAGTTGAGACTTCTATTTTGAGATCAGGAGGATTTGTGCTTCAAATTTGAAACTAGCTTTAAAAAGTTGAGCTTTTATTTGCAGATGCCAGCAGAAGTTGTGCCATTAGGAGTTAGAATTCTATATTGACACCAGTGGGAATTTGGCCTTCAGTTTAATTTCCCTAAGACCAACTGAAATTGGGATTCCACTGTGACACCAACAAAAAATGGGATTCTTTAGTTTGAAACCAGCAGTAATTTGGCTCTAGTGTGAGGGATTAGCAGGATTGGCCTTGTAGCTTACAAATCAATGGAGTTCACGTTTCCTTGTTTGATACCAGCAGAAATTGGGACCACATACAAATATCCAGAAGTAGCTATTTGGCACCTTGAACCTGTTCCAGCATTCAATAAGATCATGGCTGATTTGTTTGTATTTCAGATTCCACATTGTCATCTACCTCTGATTCTGCTGCAGAAAATTCCAGTTGAATAGCAGAAGTTGGGATTATTGTGCTTGAAATGAGCATCACAGGACTCCTTAGTGTAAGATGAGCAAACATTGGTCTTCTAGCTTGGCAATCCGGATGGATTTGGGATTTCCAAACTTGAGATGAATAAGAATAGACTCCTCCATTTGAGACCAGTCAGGGTTTAGTTTCTAGTCTATATTGCCAGCAGGAGTTTGGCTTCTCGTTTCAGACTGGGAGGAGTTGGACTGTTAGCATTTACTTTCAGGAACATCTCAAAATGTAAGATCTGTGAATCTACTGTTCACAGGGAGGAAACATGATTAGGTTAACAAACCAAACAGGTGCTGGATTGTCAATGAAGTTGTGTGAAACATATATTTACTAGAACAAAGTAGTCAGCTAAGGATCCTCCATTAATTGTTTTACCGGATATGTTAACATCTAAAACCTGATGTCAGCCATAGCTCAGTCAATAGCACTCCTCTGATTTAGAAGGTTGTGGGCTCAAGTCCCAATCCGAAGATTTGAGTGCATTATTCAGCCTGACTCTCACAGTGCAATACTGAGTTTTGTTCCATCAGAAGTGTTGCCTTTCAGGTATGACATTAAACCAAGGTAATGCTTGCTCTTTCAGGGGCATATAAATGTCAAATCAGAACAAGGTAGAGATCTGAACGTCTTGATAATATTAAACAAGTGTCACTGTAAAATAAATTGGCTGGTCATTATCACATGACTATCAGTGGGGAGCTTGCTGTACACAAATTGGCTGCTGTATTTTCTACATTACGGCAGGATTACATTGCAAAAGCGACAAAGTGCTTTGGAGATGTCAAGTGGTTATGAGAGGCACTATATAAATGTCTTTTAAGAAAAATAAAGGAATTTCAAATTAATCTGTTATGCACAAATGTAATTGAATCCCACTGTATAATCTCAATCAATCAAGTGAGGTCCGATTTGTTCCATTTTGACAGAAATTTGAGGTACATATGAATTTCTCAAGGCAAATTACTTCAAAAGCCTGATAGACGTGAGAAGAATTGATACAAACACCTTGGGTGCAGGAAATAGAAGAGTGCAACTGGGGGAATGCACATGGCAATGGCAGCACACACTTCCTTTCCAGTAAACCAGACCAACACATCAAGATCTGTAATGACTTCTTGCTATCTGACATTCAGTAAACATACATGTAATCCTGGAAAGAAATTAACAGCCCTATCAATGAAGGTTTCAGACAAACCTAATCTCCAGGTAACCATGGAGATTTTTGTGCACTGTACATTGTTATATTTATTTATATATTATATATATTTATATCTGAAATGTTTTCCTTTTCTTTCTCATACAGCAGGCCATTTAAACATGGCACAAGTAGAAAAGTGCAATGAAAAATATACCACTTTTAAGTGCATCAAGATCCAGGCATTATCCACAGCCATGGGACTTGGGAGTGTTCGTGCGTGAATGATGAGAGGATATAAAATATTGTTAATAGTTACAATTGGTTTTCACTCCACTGTTTGTCAGTTCCATTCCACCACAGGCCTGTGCTTTATGGGGAGTGTTAAGGGCAGGGACAGGGGAAAGAGAGTGATGAAGTGAAAGGATGATCGGCAGGGAAGATGATTTGCATCTGACCTGGCTTTCTTCCCACCCACCCACCCCACCGCCTCCTTTCCCCTTGCATCAGTGGCCACTGGCGTTACGGAATTCGCCATTTTCGGTGATCTGCAGGCGGGGGGGAGGGTGCGATGACGTCACGCCGTTCAGCTGGGTCTCACTGCACCGGTCTTTCATGTGAGTCAGGGTGCTCATCAGTCGGGAATTGGTGGCCCCCATCGTTGAGAGCTGCCTCTCCTAAACAAAACAAAACATATATAAAAAGGGAAGAAATCCACATTAAAGCCACAGCATCCATAGCCAAGGAGGGCAAACCCCTCACTACCCTGGAGCAGCCAAGCCAAGCCATCAAAATAATGTGCAGGGGAAAGCCAATTTATAACTGTGGGCAGTGGGACATGAAAGAATAAGAATATAGATACCTACACAGTAACAATCTCAATGAGGCTATGTGAACTGTCCAATTGCATAATCTAAAGAAAAAAGATGTTAACGGTCTAATTTCTGTAATGGAAGACTGAAGGTTGGTATCTTCAAATCAAGGGCAATGTAACACATTGACCATGGGCACTACGGCCTTCCTGTCAACCACATCACAAAACCATTCCTCAAAGGGTGGAGTGAATCCCAGTTGGCAATGGTAGGGCTCAGAATTTTGCAATGTAGCTTGTACATCAGTACTGAACCAGAATTATAATAACGTTTCAAAGTTGAATGACTGGCCATGCTGAGCTGGTGGTAGGAGTGAGCAGTAGGGAAAAGGCAAAATCAAGTAAGAGAATAAAGATACCTTCTTTGTTGCATGTAGGGATACAGCCCAAGTCAGCAGGCCTCTGTCACCATGACAATGGTTGACACTTTGCATTATGAAGGGATATAAATAGGTGGTATTTCTTCAAATGTAAAAGTGATGTGAAAAAAGATAGGCCTGATTGGATAGTTAAATTTCAATAGCCTCCAAACAGAATGAAAAAGTGTGCTTGTCGCAGGATTGTGCTTGGATGATTCCAGGTGAGAGGACATTTCAAAGCATCGAGAATCAAATCTACCAGTAATCTACAACATCTCCGCACTCACATTCCAGTGCAGTACGCTCCTCTGTTGTGGCCTAGGCTTCGGGACTTTTGTCATTAATTAATGCTTAAAATTGTCGTGGTGCCAGTTAGGGCCCAATTCAATGAATGTTTAGTTTTCCTGTATGTTAGCTATTACAAAGCACCATCCCCCCCCCCCCCCCCACCCCCCCGCCCCCCCCCCCCCCCCCCCCCCCCCCCAACCCCAGCACACAATGCAGCATCATGAGTGAGACAACTTGAAATGAGCATGTGTGCAGACTCCTTAAACCACTCCCTAAATCATCATGCAATTGCATGGTAATTTGTGCTTCACAACGCACAACTGATTGGTGTAGCTTTAATCCTGAGACCACTGTCTTCCTTCTCCCTGATAAAAGCTCTAGATTTTGCACTAATGTTAAGGCATCTATAGTTGACACACTTTTTGGGTCTCTCTGCACTATTATGGGTTGCCTTATGAAGGGACTAGACAATCTAGGAAACTGGAAAAAGCCCCAATGTTTTTTCATATCTGACAACCTGGCATAAAAACCTTTGCTGGTCTGTGCTTGAAAATCTGGAAAAACTCTGAGCTTCTATTGTCAGCAGGTGGCTGTCACTACATTAATGCCCCACTTACTGTGCACCACAACTCACAGTTAAGACAGCAAAGCAAATGGGTTACTCTTCTCTGCCAACAAGAGAGATCCATTCTTAGATGATGTTCTACTCTTATAATTACTCCTACCTCCTCCTTTCCAACCCCGTTCTTAACCATTTAGACTTCACTCAGCACTGTCAACCTACCACTTGCCACTGCACCTGTCCCCTCCACTCAGTTATCTCAGAATGACACAGGCAAAACTGTGCAGGGTAGAACTTGGCTTCACAAGTTTGTATCTTTGCTATTCCATCCTGTCCCCTCATGGCAATAACTGTGTCCCGCCTAGATATATGATGCCTGCTGAATGTGCCCTTTATCTCTGAGAATGAAAAGGCCAATATTGGTTTTACACCTCGCTCAAGGTCATATTGGGTGGAGGATGTAAAACAGCTGTTCTATTTGATACTGTATGCCTGCTGTCCACCACACCAGACTGAAATTTAGCTCCAAAGTGCCTTCAATCCTTGGCAGGACACCCCTAGATTTGGAATCTCTTAGGCACCGTAGCTTGGACCACAAACACATGAGAAGAAACAGCACAGAGAATGAAAGGCTTCAACTTGTGACAGAATGGAGATCATGCAAACAGGGGAGTAACACATGTTTAAGACAAGAAAGTAAACACATATCAAACTCCTTTGTAGTCTCAGTCCCTTATGGCTCCCTGTGTCAGTTTGGCTCTTTGAATGTACAAAGCTGAGGACTGAAGTGCACTGAAACTTGACTTGAAGAGTCTTGGGTTCACACATCAACTTTAAGTCACGTTGTTTCCACCTTATCGTCAGCTCAATGGTGATGCCTGGCAACTGGATGGCTAGTTGACTTTCCCTTCAGATCCTGGGTCAAGTCCTTGAGATGAATGTTCAAGGTACAAATCCCCCCACTTCTATAATGCTCAGTTTAAAGCTTTAACATTTTCTCAATGGTTCAAGTGGGAAATGGTGACTGAAGGTGTAACTTGTGGAGTGCGCTTGTAGTGGTCTCAAACCCTGTTCCTGAGGTCTTACGAAGCAGCTTGACAGGGCAGACACTAAGAGGATGAATCCACTGCCTAAGGAGTCGAGAATGTGATGGGGTAGGGTTGGAGGGTCACAGGATAAAGGGCCAATCACTTTGTATTAGGATGAAGATAAATTTCTTCCCTCAGAGGGTCATGAATCTTTAGAAGTTTCTATCCCTAGTGTCTTGTTGATGCTCCATCGTTTAATACATTTAAAACTGAGATAGTCATATATTTGGTCTCTTAGGCAATCACGGGATTTGGGAAGTTGGTAGCAAAGTGGTATTGAGGCTGAAGATTAGCTATGATTGTACTGAATGGTGGAGCAGGTTTCAGGAGGCTGTTCCTTTTTTTTGTTCTTATCGTGCGCTGGACTTTGGTTGGGCTTTGTCAAATGAACAAAACAGTAATGTTCTATGATAAAATTTGCCTGTTCTTTATCTTTGTGTGTGCTGTGTTTATCAGCATACACATGTTTATGTGTATCTATCTGTGACTACATATATTTGTGCAGATATCTACACCTATGTATCTCTACAACTCTGTGAGTATATCTACAACAGTTTCTGTACCTGGACAAGAGATCAATCCAATTGAAGAAAAACATTCTTAAACTCTGTCCCATAACCTTTTGTCAGTGACCATTTTGAGACTTCCAGTCCCCTGGGCTGTTTTGTTGCCTTGGTGATGGAGAAGTCCTGCTGCTGAGAAGCACTGGGAGAAACAGGGGCTACACAGGGTGTTATGCCTACCAAATAAGCACTTGTTCAGTTTTACTGCAGAATCCTGCAAAGTACATTCAACAATACTGATGAGCCAAAATCAGTACAGGAATACCAGAGATGAGAAAATGGAAGCAAAAACAGCCTTTAAACATATTTTGTAAATGATGCCCAGTAATAAATATATTTTGAAATTAAAGGAGCACAATTAAAACAAGTAACTCTACTCCTTCTGATAGCACTTCTCACAATGATTCACATTATACATTCAATAACACCTGATATTTCCAGAGCAAGGCCCTTGATTGAGGGAATTCCTCAGATTTTAGCACAAAGTATTGTAATGGATTCAACCGTGGGGGGGGGGGGGGGGGGG